ATGCACCATAGAAGGATCCAAGCCATGCACGTGCCCAATCACCGACGTTCCTTCTCCGTGTTCATGTCTTTTTACGATATCCAATTTCACGTCCAACGTAACTGCCACATGTAATCTCTTAGCAACATTGCTGGGAGTTTTAATAACTGGTTGCTTAGGCATTGCGAGATCACACAAAACACAACTGCGAGATCACACAAAACACACACCAGCACGTGTGAGACTGAGGCGAGCAGGAGTGTATGGCGGAGGAATACGTACACACGCTGTCCTACGGTTGAGGAGCACGGTTCAAAATTTTTGCTCGTAAGAATTTGTGAATAAACGGGGCAACCATTGCAAATAGTGGAAATGGGTAACAATAAATTGATTGCAGATAAACAGGGTTACGAATACCGAGGCTATGAATAACGGGGTTTGCCTGTAGTATATCACAAACTCTCATACAGTTCATGCACATCAACTTTACATGAAATAGGAGAGTTTTTCAAAAAGATACTGTGGCTGATCATTCAACACTCACACAGTACACACAAATACATAAAAGTGTTTAGTACTCTGTTTTTACTATTAGATAAGTACAGTACAGATCTATAAAATTAATACAGTAAGTGTACAGTAGAATGTCGATATAACATGAGATACGTTCCAAGAGAGGTCGCTTTAAACCGAATTCGCACTAAATCGAAGTGTTGTTTCAATGGAATAATTTAGTTTGATACTTGAGAGAAAAAAATACTAAAATGACTAAGAGTTTACCCAGATGCACCTCAGCCCATATCCTAGAACAAACAAAACATTGTTTTTTGTAGTATTATGTTAAAGCATACACTCATAAATCAACACAGCTAAAATAACGGGATGCAAAATGGTCTGTTTACTAGCGATCAGTTAATGTGAAGATTTGGGTGGGAGGGAGGTGAGGTGATATGTTTGACAGTTGATGCTAAGGTCTAGTGCTTATTTATTTATCTGTCCTTAAGAGTGACTTTAAGTTTTTCTCTTATAAAATGTCACTGAACTGACATGTTCTAATTAATTTAATTACAGAGGGATAAAATTTTTATCTCTTGTGCAAAATATATGACATTTATATTCAAATTAATCGCTGTCTTGCAAGGATTCTAGCAATGCAAATTATATTCTCCTAACTTTAGTCTGTGATATTATATAAGATAAAAACTGTAAGCTTATAACCACCCAACCCTGGCTGGGAAGATGGGGGGGGGGGGAGGAGGGAGGTGACAGTGACATGTTTGACAGTTGGCGCTGAAGGTCTAGTGAAGTACAGTAGGTTCTCAAATTTCACGAGTTTTTAATTCGACGCTTTTTATTTGGACACAAAAGAAAACACTACTACTAAATTTCAAATTTTGATTTCTCTTATGTACAAAAGATTCATTATTGTTTATGACTGAATGTCTTTTTGATTGAATTAATGTTTATGTGTGTACAGTGGTCCCTCGGTTAACGAGCACAAACCGTTCTAGAATGTTGCTCGTTAACCGAAAAATTCGTTAACTGAAACCATTGTTTCAATGGGTTTTTGGGAAAATTGGTTCCAGCTCACCAAAAATTGCCTAAATTCAACAAAAAAGGTAGAAAAGTACACTTATTTTGAGGTGTGTATGTAGAAGGCTCCTGGATGATGATGATGATGGGAATTAGAATGGGGGTGGAGGAGAAGGGAGAAGAGAAGGCATTGGGGTGGAAGAGAAGTCACCCCATGGCGCCATTTCACCCATAAAATTTTAGTTCTCTTGGTGTAATTCAAGGTTATTTTCTTTAAATCAACACTACACTGCATTATATATTGTCAATATGTAATATAAATTTCAAAATGACCAATAATTTGCTTGGAAACACAGAAAAAAAGCATCTAGTTGAAGAGAGTCTCAAGCAAGATGTTACCTCCACTGAAAAGACACAAAGACTGATGCCTGTATGCTGTGTGGCAGGCTGGATGGCGTGCCACAAACTAGTGACCCTACCTTCAATTATGTTCAATAATTGTTAAAATGACTAAAAAATTTAATATTAAACTTTTAAAATTATTGAATAGTATAAACTTCTTGATATTTAGTAAAAGGGGTAAGGAATTTAAGCCTTAGAACTGATTACTGTATTGGCGGACTAATACTACAGCTGGTGGACCGCCAAATGCAAGCTAAAATATGTGGAGGTCGGCTCGTAAGAAACTCGTTAATCGAGGGATTGCTCGTTAACCGAAATTAAGAATCTTATGGAAGGTGACTCGTTAACTGAAATCTCGTTAACCGAGGGACCACTGTAATTCATTAATAATACGTAGAATATTAAAACGCACGAGGAGACGAGACGGCATTGTTTTCGTTAATGTTTACAAAACCAGTGACAGACTGGTTCTACATATAAAACTGAAGAAAAGAAGACCCTGGTTGTAGCTGTAGTAAAATTAATGCAAAAAAATTAATATGGTTGTTTTAAGTAATGTTATTTAATGGAACAATAAAAGTAACTAACCATTAATGGTAAAGAAAAAAAGTGAGATCGCGTATGTAAGTGCGCACATGTGAAAACATATTGTCATTACTCTACATAAGAATATGAAAGCAACACTTATTTACTGTTCATATATATTTTAATTAATGTTTCTGAATTTAAAACAAAAATTCTACCCACCAGTGGTGGTCAAGTTGAAAACATAAGGACAGCCAATGTTGTTGTGTGTGTTTTTACTCGTATGACTAAGTTGCCAAGCCATCAGGTTCAACTCTAGCTGAAGCTGTAGAACATAAGAACTTTATCTGTGTTGTTTTTAGTTTTTATTTAACTTTATGTGTTATTTTTGTTGGTTTATTAGGATGTTGCTTTATTACAGGTAGTAATTCGCCAAAAGAGTAGGGTAAATAAGGCAAAATTTAGCCAAACATCGAAAGTACCAGACTCAAATTAATTTTCTCCATAGGAAGTTGTATTTAAATTTGGACTATTTAAATTTTGCGAGGATTTTACAGTCTAAATAGGTGTCCAAATATGAGAGCCTACTGTATTTATTTGTTCATTTATGTCCTTTAGATTGAGTTTTTGTTTTTTGCTTATAAAATGTCACAGAAGTGACGGGAAGAATATAATTTACATTGCTGGAATTCTTTTAAGATAGTGATCAATTTGAATATAAACATGCTATAGTTTGCATTAGACATACAAATTTTAGTTTTAATTAAGAAACTTATTACAAAGGGCTAAAATTTTATCTCTTGTGCAAAATATATGTCGTTTATATTCAAATTATTCACTGTCTTGCAAGGATTCTAGCAATGCAAATTATATTCTCCTAACTTTAGTCTGTGATATTATATAAGATAAAAACTGAAAGCCTATAACCACCAAACCCTGGCTGGGAGGGAGGGAGGGAGGGAGGGGAAGTGACAGTGACATGTTTGACAGTTGGCACAGAAGGTCTAGTGAAGTATTTATTTGTTTATTTATGTCCTTTAGATTGAGTTTTTGTTTATAAAATGTCACAGAAGTGACCAGGGAGAATATAATTTACATTGCTGGAATTCTTATAAGATAGTGATTAATTTGAATACTACAGTCGACCCTCGTTAATTTGGACTAATAGGGAGGGGAAGGGTGTCCGTTTTAGCCAATTGTCCGAATTAACCGATTTAGGGGTTAATATTGCATTACATTTCAAAGTCATTGTTTTCGTCACGATTTTATCCCACTTTCCACTAATACCTACGTCATTTCAGCAAAAATATTACATTTCCGTGAATGCATTATATCAAGCACAGTATGAATAGAATACCATTGTAATATAACAGTATCTTAACCAAAAACTATTAAAAAAATGAGTAACTTCTCTAGAACATCGGAAGGTTAGGTAAAATTTTTTGTTTTCGTCATGTATTTTATCCTATTTTACATTAAAATACATCACGTTTCAGCAAAACTACTATTTATTTCCTAGAATATATTCATTCAGGCACAGTTAAGGTAAAATATACATGTGATGTAACAGTTTTTTAACTGAAAACGATTCGAAAACCACGTGTACCGTGTAGCTGATACTCAACAGCTGGTGGTGCGTCATGTGTCGTTGTAAACAATAGGAGGTTGAAGTAGATTACCGGGTATTATATTAAGTGTGAAATATCAAAAAGGTTTTTATTACCGGTATTTTTTGTAGATCAATGAGAACTGTGATACCGTATATGATATGATAAGTTAGCCTGTGCTAAGAACTTCAACATAGACTACTGAAAACACGTTGTAAGGTAATTTAGCCTATTGTAAGTTGGTGAGCTTCATTTGCTGAAGGAACTGCACAACTTTTCATTACTAATTGGTACAAATATTACGTTTCCATTGTTTACTGGCAGTAAATGGTAAATATTTTTCATGTCTGAAGCTAAAAGTTGCATCCCCCCCACACTAGTGGTGATGTTACATTTGACCAAAAAGACGCTGGTGTTTTATCCCAGCAGTGGGTGGACCAGCATTTTAGCTTAAGGTCCGCGTAGGTAATATTCCTACAAATCTTAAAAAAAAAAAAAAAAAAGTTCGTTCAGATTTTGTCCGAATTATCCGAAATCCGGATTAAAGGGGTCCGAATTAACGAGGATCGACTGTATAATCATACAATAGTTTGCCCTAGACAAAAATTTTAGTAATCATTTAGTACATTATTTTGAGCACATGTACAGTACAGCTTTGCCCTTAGGACAGTGTAGCGTGCCCAGAGAAACATTAGGCGCGAATTTTAAAATATGATGCGCCAGATTGACTCGCACAAAATAGGAAAGATTCGCTTTAAATTAAAACATTGTCCTTAATTGTGGGTGTAGCTTTAAATCAATAATCTGAAATTGAAGCGCTTTAAATCGATGTTGTACTGTACTATACAGTACAGTACTTCAGTCATAAAATCTTGTATTCTCGATTTCATAGTCTTATAGTCTAACAAGTACTGTAGAATTCAACCACCCTAATAATTGTGATGTGAGACTCACCGAGTTCTTCTTACCCTTCAGCAAGTCATCTGGGATGCAAGGAGCGCCTACATCCTTCAGGTCAGTCTGTGGGAGGTTAATAATATTCACCATCATCTAAACTCACTGTGGATTGAAATTCCTCTTTCCAGACAATCAAATTAAAGACTTTGATTCAGGGAGTTTATTAACTGGTTTAAAATTATATATCTCTACTATACAGTTCTGTACATACCTGGGAAAACCTTCCATTTTGATTTCAGATCTTAATATATTACTGTACAGGGTACAGTATACCATAAATGTTGTTGTGTATATCCATAACTGCCCTTCATCATCATATCTTCAATTTACAGTAACTGTAACCCTTATAGTTATGAAGACATTATATTTAAAAAGCAAGACAATGTAGATAGGTAGATACGTAGGTTGCAACAGTAGAGCACTCGCTTCTCACCAACATTGTCACAGGTTTGGGATCCTGAGTCAGATGTGAGAGGGGTGTCATCCAGTGGGACCCTACCAAACAGCACTTACTTTCTCTAGGCATTCCAGTCTCCTCCTGTACCAGAACTGTACAATGAAGGTCGTAACAAACAACAGACTGACCACCCAAATGGCTAGTAAGCTGACAAGTGATGGAAATTATAAATTAAATCAATACCCAGTAGACAACAAATCCTATAAAAATCAGAGAACACTTACATTTAATATTTCCTGAGATGCTTGTTGAAGGTTGAAGTTGTTACCATCTAAGATTCTCTCAATACTTTCCTCACATAAACTCCTGCACACAAAAGAGAAAAATGCAATCAGTTCCTACACAATTTTTTTATATTGCATAAAGTGGGACTACTATGATGAATTTCTCTCTACAGTGTAATAATTGCCACTTCCAGCATATAAAGTTGAACAGAACTAATAAAATATACAAACAGTAAGGAAATTATTTACTCTTCATATATTTGACATAGCAAAAGATCAAACAGCAATGATCAAAATAGCCACAGAAATTCAGTAAACAGTACTGTACAGTATGCTGGAGTTATCTTACAAAACATAAAGTACTTACAAAACATAAAGTAACTTAACACTGCCCTGTAAAGATTGTATTTATTGACAATACTTTAATGTCATATTTAATCACACAAAGATTAGGCATCTCAGATCTGCAGTTCTCACACGATGCACACTTCCTGACATCCCCTGAGGAATTTCCTCGGGATTCTTGGGACCTTTACTATTCCTAGTATTCCTTCCTCATCTGGGTGTATAGATATGGTTTTTGCCAAGGGTCTTTGGGAACAAGGTTGTTCTGTCCACAAGAGAACAATAACTTCCAGTTTTAATGACAGCTTACTGTTGGCTAGTTGGGCACCATAGAATCTTTCTTTCAAACTCAATAAATATTCAGAACTTCAATGACAATCCCAGCCTATTAATGCACTGTTTAGGAAATGATACTTTTGTCATAAACGTTGGCCTGATTGTTCCACAGTAGGATCATCTATCTCCTCTCGTACCTTGGTACATGGGACAGGATCTATTTTTCTGCCATGTATCAAGTGAGAGGGTGTCAGTGTCTCCTATATCCAATGCAGAATCATTCAAGTAGGTTAAGGGTCTGTTATTGAGCCTAGATTCTATATCAACAATGACTGCTCTTAATTCTTCCATTGTCAATTTAGCACAGTATTATGCAATGTTTTCCTTAAACAATGTTTTACGTTGCCTATCATTCTTTCAGTGAACCCATTTTGCCAAGGAGCTCTAGGGGCAGTGAAAGACCAAGCCAAACATTGGACCAATGAAAAATTTGTAAAAATGTTTCAGAGCTTAATTTCTCAACTATTTCTGGATGAAAACAACTGATTAAACAAATGTAGACTTTCTCGGGTGGCCCTGGATCACCAGTAATGATCAAATCTCCCATATTATCTATTCCAGTAACCTCATATGGAGCACTCTTCCTGATTCTCCCCTGGGGTAAATCATGAAGACCTGGATAAGACACTGGATTCAACTCATATCGTCGACATAAATGACATTCCTTAAAATATGTCTCACCAGCTTGTCTTCACTTAGGGATCAAATATAATTTCCTGATATAGAATAGGCCAAGATTTTTGCCATACCCACTGTAGAGTTGTTTGTTTATGTGCTTCAACAACTATTAATACTGTAAATTTGATTTGTCTGGGTAAAAGGATAGAGTACAGCAGGGCTGGATTCAGGAGTGGGCAAAATGGGCAGCTGCCCAGGGGCCTCCACAATCTGGGGGCATCCACATATTACAATATTTTATTTATTGGATGCAAAACTTAAATTTTATTTATAGTTGAGTTAATACTTATTCTAAATCTATCTGACCTTGGACTTAAAGAAACCTATACATGCATTCTTGGACAGAACCATTATTTGAGTAGAGGTTTATCTGATTAATAATGCAAAGAATCATCTCTCTGTAATAACTAATGATACAGTCATGCGCCGGTTAACGTCCTAGATACGTTCTTGGAAACGTGACGTTAACCGAAATGGACGTTGTCCGGTCATCACAAAAACTTTGTATTTATACTTACGTATATGTGGAATACTATATACGTACATATACACTTATACAGTCAACCCTCACTTTACGCGTTTCCACGTTTACGCGGTACCCTGCCGAACACGGAATGCTCACTTTCCGCGGTGTGTGTACCCTTTTACGCGGAGAGCGGCGCGAGCACGGTGCGCACAAGGTCGCCCAGTCATCAAAACATTACCGAGTTCTTCACCCGCCACCCACCACAGCCGGCCCAAGTCAGTGATAATTATAGTGAGGATATGGACCTATATGGACTTTGAGGGGTTTGACAAAGAGGCCCTGCAAGCCTCTGTGGTGGATAGTGATACAAATGATGCAAGTGATACTGGTGAGGGCCAATAATCTGCCCTCTGCCTCAAAACCAACCTCCCATCCCCGTGTGCCCAGCCATCTTTTCTACTAATGTAAGTGTTAAAAAACCTAATATTATTGATATTTCTCTTAATTATTAAATGTGTGAGCATACCATCATAAAATTAAGAAGCTATTTTTACTACAACGTAGGTATTGTGTCTGAAAAAGTGGAGTTTGGGGGTCGGCCCGGTCTCTATTTCAATTGATCCCATATGATATGTTGTTCACTTTACGCGTTTCTCACCTTACGCGGGCCGCCGTGGGTTCAATTGACCGCGTAAAGTGAGGGTTCACTGTACTCTTAAATCACTCCTGTAATGTGATACAGGTGATTAATCTTTATCTATTGTGCAAAATAAATGACGTTTATATTAAAATTATTCACTGTTTTACAAGGATTCCAGCTACGCTGGGCAGATGGGGGAGAGGGAGGGAGGGAGCAAGCGAGCGATGGGGCTTGAGGGGAGGTAGTACGTTTGATAGTTGGCACTGGCCCAGGTCTAACGTGTGTATATTTATCAGTTCTTAAGTGACTAAGCTTCTCTCTTATAAAAAGCCAGTGAAATGACCTAGGTGAATATAATTTACATTGCTGGGATTCTTGTAACATACTGATTAATTTGAATATAAACATGCTATAATTTGCACTAGATTTAACAGTTTTAGTACTGTAATCAAATTAGTACATGTACACTCCAGCTTTGCACTAAGGTCATTTATTTCTTTTACGTTTCTTTTAGTATGGTGTGTGCATGTAAATGGATGAAAATAAATGAAGAAATTTATGTAAAACTACCCAAAAATACAGTTTAAAAACTTTATATTATAAAATGTACTACAGTATTGTATACTAATGTACTACAATTTTTATATCTTGAGCAAAATATATGACGTTTATATTCAAATTAATGGCTGTCTTGCAAGGATTCCAGCAATGCAAATTATAATCTCCTAACTTTAGTCTGAGATATTATATATAATAAACACTTTAAAGCATAAAGTTATCACCAATCTTTTGTCTGGGAACACAAGGAGGGAGGTAGCCAGCAAGCGAGGAAAGAGGGGGGGGGGAGGTGAGGTGACAGAGTGTCTGGTGTTTGTTTATTTATTTGAGATAAGATTTGACAGTTGGCGCTGAAGGCCTGCGTGTTTATTTATCATTACTTAAGAGTGACTAAGCTCTTCTCATAATTTGCCACCCAAACGACCTGGGTGAATATAACTTACATTGCTGGGATTCTTGTAAGATAGTAATTTATTTGAATACCTGTACAGTATAAACAATTTATATTTGCAATAGACATAACAATTTAAGTACCGTAATCATTTAGTACATGTACAGTACAGGTTTGTTCCATTGTTAACCGAGGGACCACTGTATTGCAGTGTACTTGTACTGTACAATATTGACTAAATTCACTTGATAACGTACACAACTAATGGTTGGTAAAACTTGTCAAGTAAGTGAGTGTCAAGTCTGTCAGTATGAGTGACACGTGTGAGTGCTTGTGTCCCCCATCATAGGAGTCCGTTTTCTCTCGCTTCAGGACGCCTGAGTCCGTTTTCTCTTAATCTTAGAGTGCAGTGCACCAGAGACTTCGTTATTACTTGGTAATGACACAGAATTTGATATTGCAACCCCAATTGCAACTGGAGTTGCAATTGTTGAGGCAACTAGATATGTCTGATTACAGCAAATGTGTTATTGTCAATTTGTAGGTGAAAGATTTTATCCTCAATAGATGTAGGTTAACATTACACCTGAAGGCAAATGCTCACGAAAGCCTAAGGAAGGAAATTCCTTTAACACATAATATCTGGCCAGTATGGGAAGGATCATCGTGTCTCCGTCAAGGGGTCGTGGAGTGGTGGTCCAGCAGGCATTACGGAAGTGGTTTTTTTCTTGGGGGGGGGGGGCACGGATGTATATGCGATTGGACGTTGTTCGGTTGGACGTTAACCGGCGCATGACTGTATATTCTTTTCTGTGAAGTCTCTTGAAAATTTTTGACATGTGCGGTAGTAGCTATATCAGGGCTGGTCGACTTGAAACCACATGAATGACTCCAGTCATGTCTCACTTTTGTGTGTCTGTGTGTGTTGGGAATTTGTACACTATCAATAAATATACAGTTAATTAAAAATTTCTCAATGTTCTGATTTCCTCAATATAACTGCATATGGCTTCAAAATTCCCCAAAGAAGTGTTCAAATTTCAAAATTTTCCCGGAGGGCTTACAGCGCCCCCCGGAACTCCCAGATGTTTAGGCTCGCTTCACTCGCCACACCACCCTCTTGGGTAGTTATAATGAGGGGGGCCTCCACAAAGAGGCTGCCCATGGGCATCCACAGGTCTAAATCCGGCACTGGAGTACAGTAATGGATAAGAAGAGGCAAGTCTGCCTTGGCTATCCTTCCTTATTATATTTGACACTAATTAAAAATTTTTTTATATTTTTAACCCAGATCCTTAACCTGTATATAAAGGAGTACGTTTGTATGAAATTTAAACAAAATCTATGCTTTGGCCTCATATGTCAAAATGCAAGGCAATAGGTCAGGCGTCCTTAGGCCAACAAAACGCACTATTTCTGGAAAATGAAAATTAACATGATTAGATGGTAAAGTTAAACTATATTCCTGAGAATTGCATATTGCTAAGTGTTTGTCATATGCTGAGCATAAGGGTGCTACAAGGGCACTTGCTCCAATTCAACAATATCCTACGCCAGAACGTCCGTTTGACCCAGTTGCGATCGACTTGTTACAACTTCCGAGGATTCATCAAGGATCCTCGTACATCCTAGTGTGTGTGGATCATTTTTCTAGATTTGTGATTTTAGTCCCATTGAAGGATAAAACAGCCTATGCTTTAGTTACTCACCTTATATGTCCTTTTACTACGCCCAAGGTTCTTCTCTCCGACAGCGGACTAGAGTTAAGAACCAACTTGTTGCTTAAATATGTCGACAATACGAAATCTACAACAAATTTTTATTGCAGCCTATCATCCACAGGCTAATGTCCTTGTTGAAAGAACCAATCGCAAAATTCTAGAGATTCTTCATCCAATAGCTACTCAAATGCACTATGCATGGGAAGACTGGTTACCCCAAGTCGCCGCATCTATTAATGGGTCGATCAACAGCTCTACAGGCAAATCACCCAATTATATTGTTTACGGCATGGACAAACATCTACCGTATGACGCACTTACAGACAAGCCATGCCCAGTCTTAATGTGGACAATTTCGCTACCAGGCAAATCAACGTACAGTGGTCCCTCGGTTAACGAGCACAATCCGTTCTAGAAGGTTGCTCGTTAACCGAAACCATTGTTTCAATGGGTTTTTGGGTAATTGGTTCCAGCTCACCGAAAATATCCTAAATTCAACAAAAAAGGTAGAAAAGTACACTTACTTTGAGGTGTGTGTGTAGAAGGCTCCTGGATGATGATGATGGGAATTAGAATGGGGGTGGAGAAGGGAGAAGAGAAGGCATTGGGGTGGAAGAGAAGTCACCCCATGGTGCCATTTCACCCATAAAATTTTAGTTCTCTTGGTGCAATTCAAGATTATTTTCTTTAAATCAACACTGCACTGCATTATATATTGTCAATATGTAAAATAAATTTCAAAATGAACAATAATTTGCTTGCAAAAACAGAAAAAAAGCATTTAGTTGATGAGTCTCAAGCAAGATGTTACCTCCACTGAAAAGACACAAAGACTGA